TGTACAAAGAAACCTTGAACTATGACAATTTTTCGTCCTTTTTAGACCACTATTCATGGAGCTCTTACATGGTAAGATTGTGACAGACATTTTTATATTAATGATAAATATTGTATCATCGTAATGCATTTTGTGAAACTCATTATAATTTGATGGATGTAAATTTGACATACAATAATCTTTTTCTCATGTTTGATAGACATTTCTCCTTTATAGACAATGCTATATTAGAAATAATCTTGCTGAAATCGAGATTTTCTAACTTCAGTTAGTTTCTTGTCGGAAAAATAAGAAAAAAAATTGTTCCGAAAATAGACTTGTTTGATTCAGCGTACTGATTATTTTGATTTTCATGCCTACTTTTTGGTTTACAGTGTATTATGACATGAGATCTACATTAAGCTCGATAAGAAACCGCGGGAGCTCAGAAAAACAACGCAATCTCTATGAATGAAGAGAAAGTGTAAGTTACTGTTTAGTTATTAAAATGTTTTAATAGAAACCTATCTACGAAGCACCATGCCTACTTTATGATACTGAAATAAGTCAGAAGTTGAGGAAAATGATTGATTAACGAATCAAATATTGATGGTCTAGTTGAAGTTCAAGCTGTTTGGACAAATGATAGTAAATGTTTGACGAGAACGCATATGATCTGCAGTAACATAATTTTGAAGCAGAAGTTTGAGTTCTCAGCATCTAACAGGTGTCCTATGGAGAAGAAGCCCCTCAGTTATTTCACAATGTCGCATTCAGCTTCTACTGCTTCATGCTCAACTTTCTTTCAATAGAATTGTCGTCCAGTTTTTTTTTCAGAAATCTATGAAAAGAAATCGTACAAAAAGTACTCATTTGATCATATACGATTGATAGTGATGTTTCTTCACCAAATATTTTTCAAACACATGTTTTCGTCAAAACAACAGTTTTTTCGTTCTCGCTCATCAAACGCCAGGTTCTTTGCAAAGAAGTCTTTTTCATATTTTCGAGTATAATGTTTCCAATAGGACTTAAGACCACACTACCACACACACACACATGTCCGGACTTAAAACCGATTACATTTGACTGATGCTTTTTGAAAAACAATGCAATTCCAGTCGAATCGATCCAATAAGTTAAGCGAAATATTTTCAATTGCAAACAATTTTATGTGAACAACCCAATTTCTATAACACTTCGTCGATCAGTCGATGAAACAATTCTCTAAAGATTGCTCTCCGTCAACACTTTCGAAGACACAGAGAACTATTGATTTTATATTTCATGCTGTCGCTGATAGACTTCACCTTAGAACAAGCAATATAATAGGTTGATTTATATTAGTGATTGTTTGAATAATTAACAAAAGAAATAAGCAAAAACTAGATAGTATGAAAATCATAGTTTTATCTTGATGAAAAAATATTTGTAGTTATATTAATATGATTTTTGAAAATAAATAATCTATGAAGGAATTATTCGAGATATCATAGTGACTTCTAGTGAAACGTCTATATCCATCAATTAGAAAAAAAATTAGGAATGTTAATGTGACACGAAGCCTATAATTCGTGCTACTTTATCTGCGTTCATATGAATTCCACTTTTTGCTGAAGATTTCTATAGAGTCATCAATTTGTACGAGCAATCTGTTTGAAAAATCTCCTGTACTAAAATGTGATAGCCAGGAACTATATCATAGCTCCAATTCAAATACAATGCATCTTGAAAAGTTGAATACGGTGTGGATGTGAGCGAAAACGTACACACCCACACTTCATATCCTACTTTCATAATAATTAAGAATCGTGTTTCACAAAAAAACTAGTACCGTTTGTTATATTAAGGAAAGAATTGTATAAAAAAAAACAGAGATTTTGTAAATAATGATTTTCGGATATCTATTTGCATATGTCATTATTTTAGTTCACTACATATCCAAATATTGGATGGGTACACGGAAGTGCATCATTGACAGGGATAATTCTGTGTGCTATTCTAGTAGCTATGGTAGTTTGCTCGATGCGTTGGGTACGACGTACAGGTCACTTTCAAGTAAGCATAGTTGATCGATTCTTTAGAATTTACATATACGTCAAAATGTGTTTTAATTATTGCAAGGTCTTTTATTGGACACATCTTCTATATTATCCATTCTTCATATGTTTGATTATTCATGCGCCCAATTTCTGGGTCAGTTATATCTTTCTAAATAAGTTAATCATAGTCTTTTTTCACTTTTAGAAATGGATAATTGTACCATTTACCATATTTGTACTCGAAAAAGTCTATTCGATATTGAAACGATATTCGTCGAGTAGTGGTCGAACCTATTTGCTTTCTGTCACTATTGAACAATCGAATGTTATCAGTTTGACTATTCATCGACCAAAAAATTTTATGTAAATATTTTTCTTAAATAATTTGTATCAATATCTAGTCTTTTAATTCAGATTCGCACCAGGTGATTATATTTGTATTAATTTGCCCAGTATTGCTTTGTATGAATTTCATCCATTTACAATCAGTAGTGCTCCTGAAGAAGAAAATTATCTTAAAGTGCATATCCATGATAAAGGTGATTGGACAAAACGAATTTATCAATATTTCAAACATATGTCGGATAAACTAGGAGATGAAGCACCTGTCAAAGTTTATCGGGCTGATTTGAATCCGACGAGAGCAAATGTTGAAGAAAGAACAAATGTAATTGGATCTTTAGAAGATTCAAACAATGATTGTTGCATAAATGTTACGACCTTACAACAAGAATACTCGCAGATACACTCTAGTAAAAAAGCGATTGTCATCAATGGGCCCTATTCATCATGTGCTCGGTATATCTTCGATTGTAAACATGTAGTTCTTATCGGCAGTGGCATAGGAATCACTCCATATGCATCGATTCTTTCCAGTCTCATGGCCAGATTTCGAATGCAGCGTACAGTTTGCAAACATTGTCAAGGAGTAAATTATCATGGAAAACATTGTTTGGAGAATCATCGCCTGGAAAAGGTCGATTTTATTTGGGTAAATCGTGATGTGAAAAGTTGCGAATGGTTTCTTCATCTTCTTCGTCAATTTGAAAACGAACAAGATGAATATCTGGCGGCAAACAGAGATGAACGTCGTTTTTTGGATATTCATCTCTATCTTACAGGTATAAAAAAAGACGACAATATTGGTCAAGCTTTTCTTCATCATATGATCAATCTATGGGCTGAAGATGTCGGCGATGATATATTTACCGGATTGAAATCACCAACTCATTTCGGACGACCAGATTGGGATATATTATTTAAGAGTCTCATATTGGATGATGGTACTTCAATAGCAAAGAATATCAATGTCTTTTTCTGTGGACCGAAGACCATGGGAAAAGCCATTCAACAACATTGTATGAACTTTGGAATGCATTATTACGAGGAAAAGTTTTAGTAGAGATTTTGATTTTAATCTTCACAAGAAAATTCTCAGTTTCGTCATTATTTATAAATAACAAGCGTAATCATTAGGCTGACTAGACAAGGGTGTGAGTGGGTGTGACTGTGAGTGTGGTTTTGACAGGGTGTGTGACCATGAAGAGAAGGGTGTGGAGTGTCGGTGTGTGTATAGCACTCTAACACTCACACCCTTACCCAGGTCAAACAAGGACGGTCGTAAACGACCGTATACGGAGAAATACGACGATTTACATGTGATCGTATTATGATCGTATATCCCCGTGTCCGCATACAGAGTCCGTAAAGTTCGACCTGGGCACCCACATCCACACCCACGTTCACACTCATACCCACACCCACACCCTCAATTTACTTTTACTTCGGTAGATATTGAGTCTCTTCAAAAACATCGTATCATGCAAAGCTTATCCGTAAAATGACTTTTATTATGAAAATCTTATCTTTTCCTATTGTCAAAATGATATTCTTGATCAATATAAACAAATGCATAAAATATACATTTTCCACAAATAACCGGAAGTAAATATATTCTGGAGACACCGAGAAGGTCAGAGTGACAACAATGTCGTATCAAAATCTCGTGAAGCTAAGCGATGGGAAATGCTTTTAACAACTCTTTAAAACACTTCCAATCGAAAGAAACCGGACAATGTATAAAATGGCCGAGTTCAAAAGGGTGAACTTTGAACAAATTTTCTATGTGCCCTGACACAATCTCATCCTCATTAACCAGACTAGAATATTACCCAATTGTCCGAGTTTTTGTTCGATCTGTCAACAGAAGCATTGTGAAGTGTCGAAGCGAGCGATATCAATCTTGTGAGTTAACATCGATGTGAAACTGTCGAAAGAAGCGAACTCGATGACAAACAGAAGCTCCTGTGAGAGCACATTGGTTTTTGTAATTTCTGTAGGTACTTTTCCTTACCTAATACACCAATTCGGCTGGCACACAGAAATAAGTGCCCATGTTCAACTGCTGGCTTATCATTCAGACATCAATTTCGAAGTGATCTGTGATCAGAGAAGCATGTCACAATAATCCATGTGAAAAATCGGGCTCCGACAAGATCATCAATGAAGGATTATCCTTTGTTCGATCATTGCCAAACGAGACATAACTCTTCGAAAAGTGATGATAATAATCAATACTTGTGGTTGGACGGTAATGAAAGTTAGGAGTCTTTGTTGAGATACTTAAGGTCAGCATCATATATGCGTGTACGACGTTACCTGTTTTATGTCTGTCATTCTATTTCAGTGAAACACACATACAGATTATTATTACTTCCACTCTGGAGAATAGTGCGAAGGTGATTGGCAGCCACGAACGATTAGTTCTGTCATGTAAGGATAAGCAATAAAATGTTTTTTTTATTAATTGTTTCATACTAACAGAATATGTAATGTTCTCCGACTGTCTTCGTGCTATTCAATGCTTTGTATTGTAAGATGAGAATAAACTTTACGACACAATAAGTATTGAATATGAAAAAATTGGGCTAAAATCAACAGTTTTATCAATTCATAATTATACGATTTTCGTTTATTCGTTCACAGTTGTGAATTTGTGTCAACATCTAATGAATCATTCTCTTTTATCTGTATCGCTTTGGAATCGATCTTTTTATTGGCACTACTCTCTTCAATATTGGAAAGATGACCGTAGTGCTTCACGATCCAAATAAAACCTTGGTGAAGCCACACACCAACAATGGCTCCGACAATTGGACCGACGATCGGTACCCAAAAGAAATAGTTATGTACACCAAATACATTATTCCAACCATAGACAAATGCTCCAAAAAGACGTGGACCCAAATCACGAGCCTAAAGCATAAAAAAGAAAAAGAATAATACTTTGTAAATTAATATATAGAATTTCCAAACAGGATTAATTGCAGCTCCAGCGTTAATTGAAAATGCTGAAATAATGCCTGTAACGATCAGCGCAAATGCAAGCGGTTCAACTGCTTTTGACATCATCTGATTCAATTCCTACATGAAATAAATTAATCAATCACTCATCTATTCCAAGCTACTCATTTACATGCGTAACTGCCATGACAAAGATCATCAGAATAGCGGTACCAACAATCTGATCGACTAACGCATTCCACTGTGGTGTACCTTTGGCAGGCATCGTAAAGAAAATATCAGCTGTACCATTGGGACCAGTCATTTCTCGTATACCACCATCGAATTCATCGAATTGCTTCAGGTAGACAACATAGACAAGGGCAGCTCCTAAAAATGCACCCAATATCTGACCAATAACATAGAAGAAACATTGTAATGGTTTCAGTTTGCGAACAGTCATTAATGATATACTCAAAGCTGGATTGATATGTGCACCTAGAATAATCAATATTGAATTGTATTAAATATAGTGCTGAGTCTTTCTCATACCAGTAATTGGTCCACTAAGCATCAGTGCTAGAAAAAAACAAGAAAACAAATTGACAGATATATTTTTAGGTATTAGGAAACAAAGAGTGATGGATTTGATTTCTGTTGAAAACCTATACTTCTTAGCAGTTTACATCCTATGTTCCGACGGATATTAACTTTTCCCGATGAAATGAGACTAAAACGGTTGTCACAAGCATAGAAAAAAGATTATTTTCATGGAGTTACTAATATTAGATAAAAAAAAAATGATCAATCGATCAAACGTACTGTTGTCATGTTTAGGTTTCTTCAACTTGTGATTTTTTAGCAAAAGTAACTAAAAATAGAAAATAGTTGCACCAAAATCATTAACTAGCGAATTATTTAAAATCAGTATTAAATTATTCCTCGAAATTAATATTGTTGATTATTACTCACATTCACAAAATTTTCTGCCATCTGAAGATTTGGTTCGTTGTGACTAATGATCCGTATATGCAAGATCAATTCAGATTATAGAGATAAAATTATTTGATGGTGACGTTACACTTATAAAGTATTTCTTCACTTGTTTCTCTATCGGTACTGGTTTTTTTTAGAAAACTCTTTGTAATTACGTGTTTAAAGAAAAACTCGAAAGATAATAAATCACTAAGGTAACTTATTGCTTAATGAATTGACGAATTTCTTAGTAGACGATTAATAAACGTCAGTTATTATAAATTGTAATTATTTCAGCTACTCATGACTCAATAAGAAAGATAAAACCATATTATACTGTGATCTTAAAGATAAATCAAGTAAATTTTTGTAATAAACCAGTTTCATTTGGATGGACATCAAATTCGTGCTTGAAATATAGGAAGGATGATCTATGTTAGAGAAGCAATAGGTTAGAGAAGAGAATGCAAATGATCAAACATTGAAGAGCCCTTTTTGAAAAGACAATAGATTTTATTAGTGTCTGAAAAATGATCAATGGAGATGCTATTCTGATTTCTCTACTAGACATCGGCAAGTTCAATTTTAGTTAGGATCTGAAGAACTGTTCAAAACAATATCTGATAAGAATTGATCTCTCTAGACAGATCTGTTGAACAGTTCAGCTCCAAGGTCTGATCAACTGTTGAGAGAGACCTATAATTTCTCAGAACTCTCGAGGTCCTCTCGTAGAGGATATCTGGAATCCTTTTAGTTCTATCCATAGAGGATTCATAGGATCCCTACAGCTCTGTCCATAGAAGGTATCTACGATTCTATAGCCCTATACATGGGAGGAACTACTCAGGATTCAATAGGGTATCGTAGGGAGTACCTCATGAGAACTGTCTAGGACTCATCGGAACTTTATGGAGCACTTAATATCATTTTTCGGTACTCTATGAGGATGTACTAAGAACGCATTAGGAATGCCCGATGGGGGTGTATGTAGGTCCGCTTAAGGGAACCCCCTCAGAAAATCCAATTTTTCGAAGGACACTCGAAGTAGAGTTTTTATCATAGGAAGATGCATCGAAATCTCCTCTTCCAGAATATATATGACTTTTCGTAAAATAGACAGATTTATAGGCGGACACTTGAGCCTACTATCATGTGTAGATGGAGAGTGGCCATGGCCAAACCCGCACCCATACATCCACACCTACGTCCAAAACATTGTTTTTTGTTTTTCTCAAAATCAGTTTTTTCGAGCATATCGTTTACGCAAGCAAATCTATTTGATTACAACTCAATATAATAACGATAATTTTTTTTGTTATATATAGCAGACAGCTAGGGCTAGGTAGTAGCAGAGCATGATTTTTGAATTTCTCTTTTGTCGAAATAAAAACTTTAATCTTTGATCTTCATTACCGATTTTTTTGACCACGAATATGAGGATTTTTTGAAAAAGTTTTTTTAAAAATCAAAAAAAACGGAAATTAAAAAATCGGGCCCTGTTACGATCTAGCCCTAAGGGTACTCTACAATTTAAAACTGCCCCAACATGCTTAGCACGTATCGTCACTTTGAAAACCTTGCCCGCATAAAGGGTATTTTTGATCAATGAATGACAATAACTCGTCAGTGTCTTGTAGATTCTGGGAGATATTTTAACCATAAGCTATTCTAACCAAGACTAACACTTTCTGAAATTTTGATTGAAATCGGATGAAAAATAAAAAAGTTTGTTTGTGAGGGGGCTTCCTTAAGCAGATCTTAGAGGACATGACTGAGAACCGTTAGGGTCCTCCAAGAAGGAATGCTTAGAAAACCTTCAAATTCTTTACTAGGACTATAGGGATTTTAGGTATCTTCTATGGGTAGACCTTCAGGATCCCAAGTACTCCCTATGGATATGACTATAGAGGTCCTAGATACTCCATATGGGTGGGCCTTGACAGACCCTGAGAAGTTACAGGTCTCTCTCAGTGGTCGATCAGTTCTTGAAGCTGAACTGTTGAAACAGTTCAGTTCTTTTCAAAAGAACTGTTCGATTAGATCAGTTCTTTGCAAAAGAATTGTTCGAAAAAATTAGTTCATATTGAAAGAACTACTTCGACAGATTTTTCGCTCATTTGATCTGAATCCATGAGCTTAAGCCGGTCTACCCCTATTCTCTACTTGTTTCTATCAATATTACCTGAGTAGACGCCAATGCCAAACGAAAGAGCAATTGGAAGTGTAGAATGAGAAGGTTGTTGGGTAAATTTATAGTTGGCAATAGCAGCTTCACCCATCAGTATGAGAATACATGTTGCAAAACATTCCGCTAATAACTGAATAGTGTATTGTTGTAGCTCTTTTATCTTCACCATAGTCTGTTTTTTAGTGTTATAGTCAAAGATAATCTCAGTAATCTGAGTTAGAACACAAAATAATGATGCACTTGTTGATTCTCCATTCTTTTTCTCGTCTTCTTTTGTCTCATTCTCCTCTCCTTTTCTGTTCTCGTTATTATAATAAAGTTCTAGAGATCATTGATTGCCCACATAAAAATCATGAAAAAGAACAAGATTCTTATATCGGAGGCTAGAGCACCATAGAGAACGAGATACCTTTATCTTCTATGTATTCTATTCATCGTTAATATTTGCTCGATTGTCGAGGCCCATCATACTTTTGACAAACGATGTTGTATAATCACAATAAAATGTCTGCATACAATGATGATGAAAACAGTGTTACTTAATCTCCTATTATCACTCAAATATTTTCTGCGTAGAAAAGAAAAAAAATTACATACAGGTTGTCTGGAAAGTAACTTTCTATTTTAAAATCTTTGTTGCTCTTAAACAACAAAAGATATCGTAACGATTTTTTCACTGTTCTGAAGCACATATCATGGTATGTTGTTGCAGATAAAACAATACGATTAATCATTTGATTATTCAACATCAAACACGAATTTCATTTAGAGAATGTCTGAAAGTAACTTCTTATTTTGAATAGTTTATTACTTCAATACGACAACAGACACTATAACAACTTTTTTACTGTTTTGAAGTGTACATAGCACTATAAAATAACAATATCGCAAAAATTCTATAGACAACACAAGAGTCAATATAGAAATTTAAGATATTATTATTTTATAGTATTATGTACACTTCAAAACAGTAAAAAAGTTGTTATAAACTATTCAAAATAAGAAGTTACTTTCAGACATTCTCTAAATGAAATTCGTGTTTGATACTGAATAATCAAATGATTAATCGTATTGTTTTATCTGCAACAACATGCCATGATATATGCTTCAGAACAGTGAAAAAATCGTTACAATATCTTTTGTTGTTTAAGAGCAACAAAGATTTTAAAATATAGAGTTACTTTCCCGACACTCTGCAGATCGAACATATATGCTGATCAATAACTGTTTACGAAGAAAAAAAGAGACATACGTATATCATAAACGGATCCCGTATATAAGAAGTGAAACAACTATCATATACAATGGTCGTATGTTCAGTTTTTGAAATTTGTAGGAAAAGTTAAGCGAGTACACATGTACTACTATCGTAGACCTACATCCCAAGTTAGCAAGAATTGATGTGATTTTGTTGTGCAACTCGTCGACTGGGATCGAGGCATCCAGTGATGCCATTTGGTTATTCTTTAACAAAGATTGGTTGAGTATAGATGACGAAGTAAGACCGTAGAAAGCTACGAGATATCTTATTTTGTTCACAAACGTTATGGCTACATGATTCAATGATTTGAAAAAGTTTCTAGTACGATATAAGAATCTTTTCAGTGAATCTATACAAATTCTCTGAATATTCGAAATAAAGAAATCATTATGTCATCTAGAATTGATGTATGCTTATACAGGGATGCCAGATGAAAAAGTTAAAAATCGAAATTCTCATTTTTCAAAATCGGAAATTTTGCACCCAAAATCGAAATGCTGTTTCGTGTGCATAAATACTTAATATGATTTTTATCAACACAATATCCTTTATTCTGTTTCAGTTCATTTATAACCTTTCTACAGTAAGTCTCGGGAGAGCATGAAAGCGAATTTCACTCTGTTAGGAAAAATATTTTTTCAACTGGAACTTGCGTCGTAAAGTCTACGCAAGCGATCTTTTCAAATCTCTGTTCAGTTATTGTCTAATATTTCTCACTTGAAAACAACGGACGATTTTAGAGAGCATCAAGAAATAAATTTTTACAAAAAAAAAAAATAAACAATTTTTCTAGCAGAGGGTATTGGTGTGGCTGTGGGATGTGCATATGGATGTGAATATTGTGCGGGTGTGATTGTGAGTATTCATTTCACTTATACGGAACCTGCACCCACACCCGAAAACGTGTCGGACATTCATTAAGAGTTTTTTAAGTTGAAAATAGGTATGCGAAGTCTTGGAAATTCTGAAGATAAACTGGAAAAACCGTTGAGTCATAATAATACAATACTTAAATACTATTTAGAATTCTTGACGATAATCTGATAGACCATAGTTAATACTCTAAAATATAAAAATAATATGGTGAATGTTCTTTTTCTTGTTCTATAGCATGATACGATGCTATTTGCATTCGACACACGTGCTCAGAGAGGAAAGGAGAAGAAATTATGTTATACTATTGTCTATGCATCATAGATATTGATAGAAAGAATCAACAATATTTTTACCCTTGCATTATACTTTTTTTCTCTCAGAAATAACACTGAATCAGAATATTTTTGGAATAATCACCTCTTTATTAAAGCAAGATGACAAGAAGCAAATTTACTATGGTAAAAAAAATAACACCACACCACACTCACAACCACATCGACGCTCAGACTCCACCTTCACATCCATTGATTTGATTTAAAGTTGAAAAATTTGATCGAACACAAACTTGACAATTTACATCATATCAGATTGACATTTGACGAAGTGGACGATTGTTGGTTATCTCTTTAAGTATCCATGCACACACCTCCTCAAATTTGAAATAATTTTCAGCCTTAATCTCATAGATTGTCAGTTGGGAAGTTATGAATATATATCTTTAGTAATAAAATACTCGCATCTAAACGATCCTAGTGTTTACCAAATAAAACTTAAATTGAAGACTGACATCCAAGACGATTCGAAGATTTTTCTAAGGAACCAGACTTTATAAAGTTTGAGGGGGATGCAATTGAAAAAAATATTAGATATAAATGAGTATAACACTGCAACAAAAAAAGTATTGTTAATTTCAAACGAAAACTACAGTTTTATTTCGAACTTGCAACATTGTAATGTTTGACGTTCGATCATTTTATTCATTAATGGTAAATTACAAAAAAATAAATATTACGGCAATGATTAAAAGAAAACTATTGCTAAGAAGACAACTACGTCCATGGTTCCCATTGCTATTAGTCGTGTTTGTTGTAATATTTGTAATGCTCGTGTTTGTCATAATAATCATATTTTCTCCATTGATTAATTGGAAGGTTACTGAAAGTGAATAAACTATGACATTTGAATTGAGATCGTCGAATATGAATTGAGTAGTTTCGAGCGGTGTTTCAATTCCTTGAGTCTGCGTTTTTGAATCAAGCTGGACAGTAATATTTCGTTTTGTGTAAGGTAGTTCCGAAGAAACACTAGCATTGATACTGATGGCTTTTTTTCCGTTATTGTTTACTATTTGCTTCCATGAATATTCACCGAGCGGTGGTACAGGACGTAGAGTGGTTTCGTCTATGAAATAGAAGACCAATATGAAACTATTACAAAGATCGATGTTAAGATGTGGACGATTGTGAAACAAACACTGTTGACCCAGAACTCAGTCTCAGTAATCAATATGTGTTTGTATCACAAATAACTAGATTAATAATTTCTTCCACTTCCTATGAAAAATCTATGTTTGTTCGACAGTAGTCAATCCGTTTAAAACATATGGAGATGTATCCTCGACACCTAACAGTTCATATCAAAAATTGTTACCAAAAAAACAAATTGATCTGTTTAGTCACTATCATGATATTATAGTTCGAAATGTAGACATCTGTTCGATGTAAATTTCTCCTTCAAATCAGATGAAAAAGATACGAGGTTATCTCAAACATGTGTACAAGACAAGTCGCCACAACTTAATACAGTCTGATGTGTATGAATTTTGTTTCTTTACTTCTGATGAAATTGTCTTGTATAAAATCTTACGCAACAAGCATTACATGCATGAAACAACTTCATATCTTTTAAAGTAATTTTTAAAATTAAAAAGTTCTAGAGGAGCTGGTAGTTTTATTTTGATGCAAATGATCAGTTTCTTAATTACACAAGAGGGTATACAGCAAATATCACGATGAAATGAAAAATCGAATTAAACATATTCATATATAAAATTGGAATAAAGAATAATTTAACATATATAATTGTTAGTTCTTTATAGAACAAAAACAAATAACGATCTCATCGGAAAAAGATAGTAACATTTCAATGGTTAAAATCATGATTAACAAAAAGTGATAAACCGATGTATTCTTAGAGAACTGAAAGTTTTCCATCGTCTTTTATGAATATTTTTCAAAATTTAATTTTTTTTTTGGAATTTTTCCGTTTCAGATTTCAACATTATTTGGAGAAGAATTGCGTCGATTTTTTAATGCAAAATCCAATTGAACATGTCATAGTTCTCGAGAAAATTTTCGAAAATGATGGATTTAAAAGTTTTTGTCGATCAGTGTTCATCGAAAAACTTATAATTCACATAGATCAAAAAAGTTTCTTTCATTATAGACAGAGTCAATATTTCCAGCTGTTTAAGAGAACTCTTACAATATAAGAATAATCATAATTATAATATTCTGCTTCAAATGCTATAAAAGTATTCGGGTGTCTAATGATCATTATTTGTCTTCTTTTGAAGACACTTATAAAGACCTAACAAAAGAATATATTATTACACTGACGTGAGCAATAATGTCTTCAGCACTAAGTGAACGAGAAATTTATTTAAGACGATAAATTCAAAATATCATCTCTTAAGAAATGATCAACATTGGTTGGATCTTAGTCGAGTCTTTTCAATAACGGTTAACTATTTCGTCGGTAGAATCAATTATTTTAAGTGTATTTAAAGAAAATTTGTGAATTTCATTTATATATTTTGATGATAGTATCACCAACTCAAACGGCTAATAAACTACTGAATAGATTCAATTTTATCCTTTTCATGAACTTTTCTGTCTTCTAGAACACCTAATAGATCTATCTTGCTCTATAAATGTAATGGTTCTTAAGGCCTCGATATTACCTACCATTAGCATACGTTCGTATTAGCCTGCATTCACTTCTCTTGATTCCACCAGGTGCATCATCATTAATAGTGGCATTTACTTCATACCATTTGCTTTGAAAACACACATAATAAACAATATTCGGACTGAGTCCAATGAGAATTATCGAACCAGTTGAATTGAGTTGATTCAAATCGTAAATTATGGTGCTACCCTCTGTGTACAAATTAGTGCTTGCACGAAGACTGACAGTAAACTTGCCAGATAGTTGAGCAAGATCAATGCCTTCAAGTGAAGACGATGGCCGCCGGACGAGTTGAATTGATGTGGAATTGATCGACGCGAGCGTATCAATCGTAGGTAACATGCTGGCATTGAATTGAAGAACAAGACTTTGAATAGAATGGCTAATAGCAAGAAGAAAGAGTAGGATGATGTATTTCATTGTTCGTCTAAAACACACATAAATAATATAAGAAGAATATAGTGTGAAATTCATTTTTCAATTGATATACTTTGTATCATAGAAACAATGTATGAGCGTCGAGCATGTGTTAAAGTAACTCGACAACATGCAATTCAAAGAAAAATTTATTGGGTGTAACTGTCGAAATGTGAATGTTGCTCAGAGGAGTTATACCAACTTCCACACTCTCGATCGATCAGTTGAATTGTTCTTCAGATGCTGAGTACTCAACCATCTCATTTTTAGTGCTTTTGAGAAGCATATCAGTAGAAATCATGTGACCAATGTTTTTTAATCTGTTTCGGCCCTAATTCATAAAAATCTTGTTTCTATAATATATCTTGAATTGAGGACGATCTGAAGACCTCGAATGAGCAGAGTTGATCTTTATTTATATGCGTTGACTATCATAAAAAAAGAAGTATTTTTCTCGAAGGATATGTATTTGATAAACGAAACCTATGAAGGGCATTTCTAGGAGTAAGATGCTTTGAAGCTCCAGCATTATGAGAAATTATTGCTAACATTCCTGTGAGATTCAATATTTTATTACAAATATATTCAAAGCTTATTAAAATCAATCTCACTCTTGAAAATAATACTAGATAGGGCTTACCTACAAAATCCAAATTTTTAAAGGATTCAGATAATAAAGAAAATATCGATTCGTGTTTATATGACGATGATTATACAAAGGAGAAAAAATACAGTGGCTTGTCGTCTCTTTATATGATTCTAATTATGTATAATGGGGCTAATAGAACGACCTTGTTTAAATATTTGCATTGGTTGAATACATGACGCATATATTATTCAAAGGTAATGTATGTTTTTTCTAATGTGCAACGTGTTTACATATGCGTTGAAAATATTTTTTCTTGCAATATGTGCATATGCCTATATCATCTAATTAGAAATCATCACATAACTGATTGTGTTCTGTTTGTTGTGGGATGTTCACCTTCTTTTTCTCTCTTATTTAGTACATATCGCAGTCTTCTATCAATGCATGGAAAAAAAACATTAAAAAAAATACTTTCAAATATAAATTATAAATGAAACAGGTCTGGTATACAACTGCGGTAATAATGGTAGTATAGTGAATAATATTTTGTTATCTTTCTTTTGATTCAATAAATCAAAATTGTCGTCATGAATATTCATTGCAAAGAAGCACTTTGAATATGGATATCATTCACCTTTTCACGCATATACACACTCGTGTCGACACTTACACATACATTGATATAGCCGCGTCCTTCATATATTTTGTTTTTATTAATACGATGTAGATAAATCATATCTTGAATGGTATTAATTGAGGATTTTTGTAAATCATAATTGAATAGTTTGACAATTAACGTTAAAATGAACGACTTGAAATGCTAGAGTCATTAACATATAAACATGACTATATTGTCTAAATATAATTGTTCATTCAAAACAATTTTCTAAAATAGAAATTTTTCAAGTGTTAGAAATTTTATTCAATCAAATCAATAGATATTCATTTTTTTCAATAAAACATTCTATTAGTACCATTTCATCAGATTAAAATTTTCTGATTTGATTCATACAATATTGTTTCTTTTAGACTAATTATTGATTTAATCGAAACTATTAAGATTTCAATATATATCATTTGCTATAAATATAGCTGACATCAGTTACATTAGATAAACATCAATTCTTATGTTTTCTTATCAATTATACGAATGGATTAAAGTTAGTTAATGAAGTTCATCGAAAAAACAACTATTCGATTTAAGACTAGTAAATAATAAAAATGATTACTGACTGAAGCTTGATTTTCTTAAGGGAAACAATTCAATAGACTATTGATAAATTTAGTAAAAACAAAATATTTATTCAAGTCAGTGAAAGAGTCGAGATGTATGTGTCAGGTGTGAGTTTAAGGAAGAAGAACCACATCAACCTACATCCTGCGTTTCATGCTATCAAGTTAAAACCTTTATATTACATACTAGGGTCGCTCATTCCTAAGGAGTGAAAACCCAATTGATAATATGTTTCCACAAGTTTTTATATATGTCAAGTTATTTAGACAAATCTTTCTTTTATTTTATGTGGTACGTATGGTTCGGAATGTAGGTCTCCTCTTCACATCTATTCACATTCACAGAAATTCTCAACAGTCTAGAAAAAAAATATTCATATTTTTCTATTTTCTTTGTTTGCTGTTTAATACCTTTAGGATCCGATTACTTCCATTAGACAGAGTTTGTCCAGTTGCACTTGCACAGTATGACTTGTCTGCAGTACTTCTCAATGAGCGATTGATCGCAAGGTTTTGTGCACTAATTTCCTTAGGCAAAGCAAAAAAGATGATATTTTTCTATTGCACTTTTTTCCTGTCGAATATTTTTCGACTGTATTGGTTTCATCGTTAAGAATTCGTAAAGTTACATCTGGCACGCTGTAACATATTTGTGAAACAAATCATTGGATGAATCTTGACAAAAAAAAAGTGGAATCCATTGCTGATTTTCCCTACTGGAAATACACACTTCTTTGTTCGAGACAAAGTCTTTCGACATTGTTGATTCTACTATACATGTTTTATAAAAAACAAAATTGATCAATGTCGTAGTTCTTCTATGATCTCGCAGAAACTTTACTAAGTTAGCAGTTATAGTTTGCGTCATCTAAACGCCTGAAAAAAAGAACAGTTTCAATGCGTATTTCAAATGTACTGTCATTATAACAACAGATTTTTTTTAAAACTAATTATATATTCTGAAAGCGCATTGAGTTCTCTGCCACTTTGTATATTTATGGTTAGTTTGCACTTATGTATTACGAAAATAAATTGAATGCAATGAATACATCTTCGTGTTCAGATTTTCACAAAGTCGATTTTGTCACTGTCGTCAAAATTAGTTTTTAAAATTTTTCTTTGCTATAGAAGTATCTTCTTCAAAAGATAATTATATATTCTGACAGAACTTTTCTTGCATTTACTTTCAACAATAAATTGATGCCAAACAACTGAAAAATATACAGGATGCTAGAAAATTTCATACTGTATCAGAATCTATAATAGATTTCAAAATTATATTTTGTTTTAGAAATAATAGTTTTAAAAAGACAAATACAAAGATAACCGAAAAATGAAGGTTTTCTGTACTTGTTAATTGAGGGTAGGTTGACCGTACTCAAATTATTTTTCAACGAATGGATGCAATACAGTAGATAAATATATGACATGATACCAAGGAGGAAAGAGTGAATTCCGTCTGTTCCGAATACGGCTGGAATCCAGAAGATACCGTAAGGATACATACGGTACGCAGAATACATTGGAGATACTGAGGATACAATTTGATACAATCGAGAAAATACAAAATATATAGAATCAATATAATGCGACTACGGTGGGCCAGTGTTGATGAAGAATTTTAATTGATTACAAAGAGTTTGTAATGTGTTTTATCATCGATTTCATCACTGAACAAATTGTTTCATGGGATATAATGAATTTAAGGTAAGAAACATAACAATTTTAATTATGCAGTGCTAAATGACTCTACTTGTTGAACGTTCGTTCAATCTGCAAAATATTGGCCGAGTCAATTGGTATATGAGTCAGTCCACATAAGTCACCACTGAGCATTCTCTCAATCGAAGTTATTTGACTTTATTCACTTTAAAATATGTTGTAGAGGAAACAGTTTTAAGAATTACGACACAAACCGTTCTCAAAAATATTGCTTCGTTGTCGAGGTATTTCAATGTTTTTTGAAAGTCCTGTAGCCAAAAAAGGTGTGTGGTGTGTGAGGGCGTGGGTATGGGTACTGGTGTAGGTGTGGAGAAGGAGTGGATTTGGTTGGGTGTAAGAGAAAAAAATTAAATCCACGCTCCACACTTACCCACACCGACACCTACACCCTAAATGTCAATGGCAGCGTACGTTTTTAACTTGTAAAACGCATCTCAAAGTCAATACTATATTGAATTGTCGACACCAGCAGATCAGGAACATTAAATATTCCCTGGACTTGTGTGGCAAGTCTATCGAATACGAGGTAATAAAAGAAAATTTGTTTTCATTCCCTTATAGTTTTTCTTATACTATTGAGAAACTAAGCATACTAGATAATTCTTTTGGAGAAGATTCACGATCTATCGACGAGAAACACAATTCGAACTATGGAGATAATCTCGACTCACTGAATTTTATAACCATTTAATGACACGTCGCGTTTTACCTCAAATTGATATATATATATGTTTTTTGACATAAAATTTAATTTGAATGTGTATTTTCCAAGATCATCAAACGAATTGCAGCTTGTTGTTAGACATTTTAATTCAATCGATACTATGTAGAAAATTTTATGATATTTTCATGTCAACATTGTGTTTTGTTTTTTGTTCATTTAGAAGTGTAATTTACTTAATATTAAAAGAAACAATATGGACTCATCGATCAAAAACGAATCTCGCATTGCATATTGTAATGGACGTGCTTGTCCTCTATGCCATAAGTGTTTGGATTGGTATTTTGAAGCTGAAAATCATAGAGATTGTGATTATGATAACCGTTCCTATGCTCATCATCTTGGTCCTCTTGTTAGTCCACTTTATCGATGGCGTCGTCGTGTTGATGCAACTTGTGGTTATCGATCATACCCTCATTACGTTCACTATGCTACTTATCATGGGTCTTGTCCTTACAATTGCCGTCCTTCTGCTCCTCATCATTCGCTACTAGCTATTCATGAACCTCCTATATGTCACTACAAACGCGAGAATTGAACACTAACAACTCAATTAAATAAAAATTTGCATTGTCGTACCTTTTTTTGTTTGTTTGTGCTGAATATTGAATATATGAAAATCTAATTAAAAATTTCAAAGAGATGCTATTTATTCTTGAAATTTAGTGTATTGAAGTGGATGAAAGTGGAACTAAAACATACCATCACTTACACATCCTGAAACCTTTTCCTCAAAATGATCAAAAAAAGAGTTTCCGATCATTGTTTTGTATAATTCACACTATGAATAGACAAAACAAATAAAGTTTTGACTACTGGATCCTTTTGCAGTAGGATTGATTAAAATAAATGGGTTATTGTATAGTTGTGAAAGATAGTGGGTGTACTCTTTATCCATCGACATCCACACCTACCCTAGCTGAACAGAAAAACGATAACGCTAACATTCACTCCTACACTCTCAAAAAAATAAGAAAAGAAAAATTTTTAAAATATTAACAAAGAATTTGTGTATGCACTAATGATCAGTTAGTTTGTTAATTGCAATTGGATTCTGTTATGAATATTTCAAACATCAAATAAAAAAAATTATGAAAAACAAACAAATAATAACAAAATAGTTGTTTAAGATGAATAGATAAGGTTAATGTGTTAATACAAACACTCAAAAATAATAAGAAGAAGAAAAAACAAAACATTAGCTTGATGAAATAATATTTTTGAATTGAAGCATAACTTTCGATGAATTGGCTTTAGCTGGTAATTGAACAAAAATTTCTCGTTTAGCTGATAAATTTTCTTGATTTAATTTTAATCCATTAACTTGTTCACGAATTTGACTTCCATTAATAGGTAATCGATAAAGAGTACCAACTAAAGGAAATATTTCATCAGATTTAAGTACATCTTTTCGATTTGATGGATCTTTATCATTTTTAATTGTTTCTTTAAAAAGATTAATTTCTTCTTCATAATTTTTCATCATTTGTTCAAGATTATTAATAATATCATTATTTTGTCCTCCAGAATTTTTTTTCATTTGTTCTTCTCGTATAAAATGTTTAAGATATTCTAAAATATCATCATTTAATGGAAGAATTGAATTTGCATGAAGAAATTTTGCAAGTTTTTTATAAACATTTTCGATTTGATCTTTTTCAAAACGTAAATCACGAAGTCTTTGATCAATATCATTTAATGAAGATGATTCATTAAGATGAATTAATTTTGTTTCATATTCATAAGTTATATGTTGATGTTCTTTCCATGAACAACCACATTTTTGACACATACCTACAATATTTAACATATATTCTTCGATAAGATTGAAAAATAAAACTATTCATTTATTCCCTATGAGATTAAAATGTTCAACATAATGGAGTTGCTGATACCTTGAAAGAGAAGATTCACCAACATATATTTCGTTCTAAGCCATTTGTTATGAATCTTAAAATGTAGTGAAAGAAGAGCAACGGACAACTATCTTAAACTAAATGACTTTCGATACTAATTCAGCAATAGACTTCAATGTGTGAGAAGGAAACACCAATATAAAAGTATCTGTCATAGTCATGATCGAGAAGAAGTATTACTTTCGGAAAAAATAGACCAAATTCTACATTTGTACTTCAACACTTCTTTTACATAGTATTTCAAAAAATAAAGAAAAGTTGCTTTCATGACTTATCTACTTAATCATCTACTTTTGTCTGATGAATGATTTATGCGATTTCAATGAATGATAACTAGAAGAAGGAAAAAAAACGATTTTTCAACTATTAATTTCTTTGATGAGATGAAATATTTTTTATTTACATGCATCGATGTGAATTCATTCTAAGTTACTTTCATTTTTTTGAAATACCGATAAATAGTCTCAAATTTTTCATATTGATTATCAAACACAATGCAATAATAAAAAAGTAACTAACGACTTTTATTATAAATCGATTAACGATTTAAAATTATAAAGATACATCAATAAAAGTATAAACAATTAATGTTAATGTAATATCTTTATTTATTAATAAACATTGCACGTTTATAAATTGTCATAGTTTTCAACTTTACTATCGCATTGCATGGGTGGAACATAACGAACGGTCGCATTTTACATTTCATCACCTAATGAGTTTTATCATGCTTTCAAAATAGACGAAATTCTGATCGAACAAGATCAGTTTTTTTACAAGGCAAGTTTCTCATTTTATTTATTGGAGTAGTGACTCATAGCATATTGACCGATATTAAATATGGCCGATTTTCAACCAATATACTACAAGTTGACAGCAAGCAGACAATCAACGAAGCACAGCTCAATTGAATAAGTATCCAAATTATGGTATGAGTAGGTGTTTATCAAAATGGTCTTATATCCTCAATTATTTTTAAACCTGGTAAAACATAATCACACGAGAATTGTACTGAAGTTGTTCTTAGACATGCACAATTTGAAGATAAATGGCTGTTGCTCAACGATGATTTCATCTATTGACAAGACAAAGTCATGTCACATATATATCAACAATCGTTGGCTGAAGATAAACATAAAACAGTTATCATCTCAATTTTCTGAATTATTACGTGTGAAATGAAATTAACAATAATATACAATGGAATTAAGTTAAAAACTATTATTTATTCATTTATAAAATAAGAAAAACAGTTTGTCATGCAACAATAAATGATCTATTTTCGCTGTCAGAATTTTTTTGTACTTTTAATAAAATCTATTAGATAATGAAAAGATACAAATTCGGTCATTCATTATGTCGCATCCCATTATCTTTCATTTCTCTTTACTTTTATTTACTGTTCTCAATTCATGATAGAAGAAAGTTGAATATCTTGTCGAATTTTATATAATAAAAATACGGTTTTGTTTTTGGAGAAACAAGCACAGTCTATGTTTGGTGAAATATCCAATGGATAAGAAACTGTACAAGTGTGTGATCAGTAATTAAATCTCATTATCAATCATTGCTTTCTTACAATTTAAATATATTCTCAATCAAGAAAATTTTGTTGTTCTCTCAAAATTTTATTCTTTTCTTTGATATTTCAAATAAAATCATATATTTATTCTAAAAAATAGGAGAAAGATTTCAATGTTTTCTTGGTAATGATGAAGATTTTGAGAGTATAGGTGTGATGATTATTTTTCATTAATATTCACACCTACATCCATACCCGATGAAGGAATATTGAAAAATTCGAAAAATTTTTCTTCAAGATAGACTAATTGACATGTTCATGTAGTTGAAGTTTCAGATCAAAATTCTAAAATATGATTTTGCTGAAAAACCAGAGTTCTAAAGGAAATTTCAGTAAAAACTTGTATATCTGAGGCAAATTGCAACATTGCCTCATATTCTCTTTGGATTTTTCCAGTCTACAAGTACTCTACTTATAGCGGTGTTCGGAGATCGCCAGGATTGTAGAGAGGATCAATGACTCAGAAAGCTGATTGGAGGATTTTCGCTAACATTGATCGGATTTTGATGAAGATTAGTTGAGCGATTGTTAAGCAAAAAGAAACAGACAAAACGCTGAAACTTCGTTAGAGAAAAATGGAAATTTCTTAAGATTGAGGGAGAGAGTGACCTTCTCCCCTATTCCGGGACACTGCGACTTATGATCAAAATATGAAGCTAAAAGACTTCAAACATTTCATTCATGAGAAATCGAATGATAATTATAATAAAAAAATAAGAAAATCTTGTTACCTGTACGATAATGCATAATTTCACATTCTCTCATTCTTGGATCTTTAATAGTTTCTTGTACAACACCTTTCAAATAACATTCTTCATGACATTTAGATATATATTCAATTTTTGTTTGATTATTAACATAAATAGATCGACAACATTTTTCATTAGTACATACAGTTCTTGGATGATCTAATTGATGAATTGATACTTGATTTTGTGGTATGCCTTGAGAAGCTATTCGAGGATTTTTAAGAACATTTTCTTTATGTTGTTGAGCAAGTTGAATATCTTGTTGAATAAGTCTTGTTGTTTCAGCTATTGGACGTGTAAGTTTTCTAATTAATTGTTCAGCTTCATTAAGTGAAAGTGTATTACTAACAGCATGAAGTGGACGTGTAACAATATGAGATATAAGATTAGAATATTCTTTAACAGTATGATCCCAACTTTTTTGATAACTTAATGTTTGTTCATTATTTAATTGAATATCATTTCGACGTAATGCTAAATATCTAAATGGTTCATTATCTAATAAAAAAGTATTTTCTTTTGTAAAAGGTACATCAACATCATATTGTTCTTTATGTTGTTTTAAAAGTTCTTTAAGATTTATTGATGTACTTCCGGGTTTAAAAAATGTTGAACGAGAATTTGTAAAAATAAATATAATATTATCACATGCACTTATATGTAAATGTCGAAGAAGTTCATTAATACAAAATCGAAAAAGTATTGATAAACGTTCTTCATTTGGTTTAAGTAAAATACAAATTGCATTTAAATGTTCATATTGAGAAATAAATGTTAAAATTTCATGAAAATTTTTAGTGTCTTGTTCAAGACCACGTGTATCTCCAATACCTGGTGCATCAATTATTCGTAAATTTCTATTACCAATTGGAAAAATAAAACTTTGACATTGTTTTGTACATGATTGACCAAAAACGGTAGTATTTTCTGATTCATTTATTTGTCCAATTTTAATATATTTTTCTTCAAAAGTATCATCATCAGTATAACAAAATAAAGATGGTATGACAGCTTGAATTTGATCATTAACTGCTTCATCTAATGTATCATTACAAAAATAATTTGCTAAACCATTTATAAATGTTGATTTTCCAACACCTGTTTGTCCTAATAATAAAACATTTATTTCAGTCGATGGATTTCCTTGTATTATCATTGGTTCATTTCTTCCTGCCATTATTTTACTAGATAAAAACAAGAGAATTTTTAGTAAATAAACAATTTTTTAGTAGTAACTTATATTTGAGATCTACGAGTAAAAAAAACAATGACGGCTAAAATCTCAATTTTGTTGTAAGACTTTTCTTCCGTTCTTTTGCTTATTCATACTCACACTTACATACATAAAAATGTGTCAAAATATCAACAATTCTATTAAAGTTTCGTTTTATTCTCGAAGATAATCTAATGATTGTAATTTTTCATAAATCATTTATTTTTTGACGAGAAGAATTAGTTAAGATTTCTATTATTGAAAATTTTATTTCTTTACCTATCCTCAATTTATTGTTTTGCTTTAGATGAGTATAAAGAATTGTGTTAATATATCGATGTGCTTCGCACCTGAGAAAAAAAAAACCCAACGCATAAAAACATGATTCATACAAAAGTAAGCGCAGAATATTCTCATTTCGTTCTATCAACAATCTTTGTCATGGGAAAGAACAAAAAAACAAAGATTTTTCTAACTTGGATATTTTTGTGACACAATACTTCAAATAAGTGAATTTAAATTACGATGATTTATTATCTGTCATTGATAAAATAATTAAAAATTCTTATTAATTAATAAATTAACTAAAAACATGAGGGTGTGGGTGAAGAGAAGATCCATACCCTATTCACTGTTCCTTATTTTAACAAATGTATTTGAGTACTTATTCGAATAGACGCCTAACTCCTATAATTCAGGTTACTGTCAAGTTTGAGGAAGCCTTGTTATTCATAATTGTTATATATTTATATGAGATAATTTTGATAACATTTTTCACATTCTTTCATGTAATTTTTGAAACATTTATGAATGAAAAAATATTCAATTAATTGCTGTTCCATTTAAATTAGAACAATTTGAATTTTAGTTTTTGAGTTTTATACTTAAAGAGATAACTCGAAAAAGGTTAATAATTATTGATAATATACTATTCAAAATTAAACGTACAGTTTTAGATTTTGATTAGTTCAATACACAATTATTATTATTCGAAAAGGCAAAGTTGGATAATGATTTCATAGAAATTCTAATTAATAAATGAATAATCAAAATAATGGATCTTTGTTGTTAGGCGTTTCGAAACGAGTATTCTAATAATTTTTTATCAATGCATAGACTTTATATTATTAATTTTCATTTTATTTAAGCAAGTTTTTCGCTGTTTATTTTACTTGTTAAGACTTAAAGTAGGAGTAGATTTGTATAGAGTTGATTATTTCAATTGAAAAAACTCGTTGTTTCACAATGTCATAAATTCTTTTCGAACAGCGTAAATTGATTATTAGATAAATTAATCGTCTAAACTATTAATTTAAACGAATTATAGTTGTAGATGTAGGTGAGTGTGTAAACGAAGGTATGACTGTAAGTAGAGTGTGTCTGTGTCTATATAAAAAGAACAACCCCATCCACACCCTAGTTCCTTGATCGATCGTTCCGATATGTTTCCACTTTAATCTACTTTTCTAGAGTAAAAAATAATTGATCTATGAACTAAAATCATATGATCCTTCTTGGTAAATATAAATGAAAAAGTTCACTCATCATAACGAATGCAGACAGCTTCAGTGTGCCATAAATTGTTCAATCATCAAACTAAACTCTAATATTTATATTCCTTCTGTACAGACGTATCTGATATTATCGGATAGTGCAGAAGAAATGAGCTATTTTTTATACGAAATTATTTTTACGTATAATTTTGATAATTTTTTCTGTCTTAAGCATGTCTAAACAGTATCTAAATACTTAAAAAGCATCAGAATATATGTAAATAAGGTTTCTGATTCTGTCAAATTCTTTCTTTCATCTGATGTCACATAGAATTCATCAAAGCCGAGTGTTACAATAGAAATGATAACTATTTTTAAAAGAACTGAATGATCCGGGCAAATTTTATCATTTCAGTCAACCTATTAAATCTAACAAAGTTATTGAACTTTTTAGAATTGAATATAGAAAGCATGTCACCTCTCAGCAAAATAAAATAAGTTCAAGTTCCAAACACACTGCTTTGGAAGAACTATAAAGATTTTCTACAATGCTGAGAAGTTTCAGTTCAAAAGTAATGATTTTAATGGAAATACGTAGAAAAAAAAACAATTCACTTTCAGTTGATCTTGAAGTAATTTATTATTAATTATCGGTAGAAAATAAAGTTTTTAAACTGCTACAAAGTAGAGAGTTACATTTTCATATGTTAGTACGCAAAAAAATAAATATGGAAAAATCTTGTAATTCGATTAAAAACTTGACGACGTTAGCGTTTCTTAATACTTTTCATGCAGCCTTTCATTTTCATATACGTATGTAATTCAATTATATATATTTAGACAGTGCTTTGATATCTTGTGAACTTTTCTTCAATGTTAATTATTGAATTGTTAAACAGATTATGCCAAAATTGTTGACTCTTATCAACATAACACCATGCTACTGTTCATTTCAGAAAGAAACCAACATACATTGCAAAATATAGTTTATACTTTCATCATTTTTCAAAGAATCATTACCAATAGAATCGATTTTATAGAACTTTTTTTTATTGAAATTGAACGATATGTTAAATTATTTCATCGTTAGGGTTTGAAGATCGAAATCATTTCAAATTACAACATAGTAATATTCTAGTAGAATTAACAAAAGCATTTTTTCTCTAATCAACTGATTACCAAACGAGAAGAATTATGGATATGATTCCGAATCGAAATTGATATGACTTTTGAATAGATTAAATTTTCTTTCGGTACGCATCGAAAATAAAAAAATCCTTTCAATCAATAAGTACTTATGGTATTTTTTTTTCGTTCATTCGGGATATTAATGGAAGTGATACATACTATATTCAACAAAAATTACTCAATCATGAATAAAACAATTTTTGTCCTATTCTTTACATTAGTTAAAATAAAAAAAAGACACAATAGAATACAGAACAATATGTCTTTCCAAATGATATCATTCATAATCACTCATGATCTGATATGAAGATCGAATCATCAACAAGATTTCGTTGCATATCTCAAGATTAATCTGAGATATTTATTCCAATTGGCATCCCATGGATGGTTCATTCATCAATTTCTTTTTTATCAAACAGACAAGATCACTGAATGAAACATTGAAATTCCAAGTAGCGCAATATCGGCGTTATAACCTTGTTAATCGAAAAGGAAAAAAATTTTGTCGAATTAGCGGATTTTTGAAAAAGTTCACGATGATCCTTTCTAAGAAAATTATATTATTTTCATTGTTTAATATATAGTTGCTCATGTTTGCCTACTCTTTCAAATTCTCAAACAATTAAGCGCATGTCTATACATGATGAGAGGAATCATCTCAGATCATCTTGAAATACCAGTCATCGATACGTTTTAATAATTCTTTTTAGAGAGAAAATCAATTTGAGAAGTATCTTCATCGATATATTTAGAAGAATTAGACAATCAACAATATTAATAAAAACTAGAAAGAGAAAAACATATCAACTGTCCTATGTATGATTGAGGAGATCAAGTAAATTTTGAAAAAGATATATACAAGTTGAATTTAAGTTGATCTATGCCGTTGATTTTATGTTGTTCTTCATCTCTTATTTGAAATTTTTTTTTCGAACAAATTTTAACTTATGTTTATGCTGTAAAGATGAGAAGTCAATTCATGTCGCTGTACTTTATTTTGAATCGAACAGTGTCACTCTTATGTTTTGGATTAGAATGATATGAAAATGAAGGTCTGCTTGTTGTTATTTTTGACAAAAATAACACGTTCTACCTGTGCCAAATGCATCATTCACATAAACTGCGCGAAATTTGCTTGTTGTACATATATATTTGCCTCTTTCATTTTGCGAAAAACACGATGCGCCTGCACAATGTATATTTGATTGATTATATCGTTTGCACAAAAATTTCGACAAGCAATTAACTAATGATGTATTTTGTTGACTGTCAACAAAGGTATTTTTTTCTCATCCGAGCGAATAACAATAGAGTTAATACTGAGATGAAACAAAACAAAATCAACATGTGTAATTGACGATGCTATAGCAAAAGCACATTTTTTAAAATCTGTGGAATGTAAGTGTGTGTATGTTGATCACGCTGGGGCTAATACCCGCTCAGACATCTACACTCACACCTACTCCCTATACCTATCTGATACTAATTTGTGATGGGAAGACATTTTCATGTAAATTGTTTCTGTTTTTTTTTTCTTGTCAACAGTATCAATATCTCAAATAGATTCTTGATAATTAAGAGAAAGATATATTTACCTGTAATGATTCACTACAAATTTTTTTCTTATTTCGTTCTTTCTTCTATTAGACATTAAATATTATCAAGCGAACGATAAACACAACTTCATACTTATCATTGAATAAAATAACTAATAAGTTCTTGTCATTTAGCTTTGAATATATTATATTTTATTCAGAATTTGTATCGGTGTGACTTCAACAGGTAAAAGTATAAAACGTTAAAAATTAGAAATCTTCATAAATCCTAAACGAAATACTCTTCCAAAGTTTGGATGTCTGGAATAAATTAGAAAACGCATGCATGCAACAAGTGAGTGACAATGAAGACGGAATCTCTGATTCAGTGGGAATAAAAATTTTCGACACTTTCTTTTTTTTTCAATTTTCGACCACAAAATGACTTTCACATTCTATGGACTATAAGAAAATGACAAAAAGTCGATATAAATATGTGAAGTGCGAGCATGTGAAAAATGAATAGTATCAACATCCACAGTTTTTTTGACCTAAAGTACAATGAGTTCTTTCATCAATAAAATTCTCAAAACATATCGTGTCAGCATTCGAAATTTTGAGTTGACCATCATAAAAGCTTCTTCATTTTTGTACGTTAAATATAATTTACAACATAGACATTTTGACATAAACTATTATACGATGAGATATTGGACAAGATGATTAAATTTTTGAGATTTTTTCACCTAATTGAAATAGTATTTATTGATTGACTGTTCACATCATGCTCATACATTTGTATAGATTATTGAAACATGGACACACTAGACATATCACCATCTGCACATCGTCAACATCGAGTTAGTGCTATTAATCGAAAATCATCTTCAATCAATGGTGGATGTCTTTTCAATGTAAGAAGGTACGCATCTGTAACAAGATTCATTTATAAGTCTTGGTTTATATATATATATATATTGATTCAGATGGAGTCGAAAAATATTCAAGACGAATGAGATATTTCTTCATCAACGTAGTCCGTAAGTAATCTAAATCTTTGATAAGTTTTATGTCCTTCTTTGATTGTACTCACACTTTTATATATGAGTAAATTGCAATTTTTTGGTATAGTTGGCACGAAAAAAATGAAATTAGGCGTAAACAATTTTTGTGCAATGCATTATGACTTACTTCAACGGAAATGTACCATAAAAAACGCTACTTTAATGAAAAATGTCTTTTTATATTGCATCATATTTTCTCAATATCTTCATAACAGAAAGAGTTACACAAAATCGAATTTTTAACTGGCTATACAACTCTAAGAAATGTAATTTCAATAAATATTTGAGCCGGAACAAATGATCCATTTACGAGTTATTTATATTGTAATTTTCGAAATGTTCTTCTACAAAGTGAGTGAATATGAGTTTTTTTTCACCGACAAAAGTTCATTAAGGCAAAATGATCTTTTTATCGATTGAGTGATAATCAAGTTCTTCATCTTTTGGATAGCTTTGTTTTCCTTTAACTTGTGTGCCTTAGAAAAAAATTGAAGTAGAATATCCTTCTATACAAAAATAACGAAGTGTTTGTCATAGAGTGTTGTGGACGAAAGATCATAGAAAGAAAAGAATACATAAGCGAGGAAGATATATATTTCGACAGAATATAGCATGCTCTACAAAATGAACTATTCATTATCTTATTTTTCTTTCTTTCGATATGCCAAAAATTTCGTATTTTTGGTGCATCTTACTATAAAATACGATTTTCTAAATAGTATACAACTCATAAATGATCGACAGTATGAGTTAGAGAGCTAAAGTTTGGTATGGCAGCGAGACACTCAGAGTCCTGTAACCTAAAAAATAAAAATTATTAGCCAAATATAGATAAAATCTCAATCGGACCAAAAAATTGCAATTCACTTATATACAAAATGTACTGTTTCTTTTTCTTCCATCTTGTATGTGATTTACGATTTTCTCTCCGACGATTGATTTACTAGTGATGCCATCGATATGCGAGATCTATCCCATCAGCAGATAATCGGAGTTGAAAGACGAAAAGTTCCTAGAAATATTTCACTTCAAAATCGTATTATCATTAATATAAGTGGAGTTCGTTTTGAAACATTCAAATCTACTCTGGAAGTCTACCCAAATACGTTGTTAGGCAATCCGAAACGACGCAAATATTACTATGATAATATTCTTGATGAATATTTCTTTGATCGTCATCGAGGATGTTTTGAAGCTATTCTCTATTATTATCAATCGAAGGGTCGATTACGTCGACCGAATTCGGTACCACTCGATACATTTCTTGAAGAAATTATATTTTTTGATTTGGGTCAAGATGCTCTTGCTCAAGTACGCAAAGATGAAAATTTGAAAGAGGTTGAAAAAGCTCAGTTACCTCGAAATCGTTGCCGCCGGTATATTTGGGCTACCATAGAATATCCCGAATTTTCATTTATCGCCAAATTGTTTAATATTCTTTCGTTAATTATTATTCTTACCTCCACGATTACCTTGGCACTCGAATCTTTGCCACAATATTCTCATTTATTAGAAGGCACATGTAAAAACGAATATAACGAGCATAAAATTGGAACGAACAATGACTCGATGAATTCTAGTAACGTTCAATCGAGCGAATCCATATGTCTTTCGTATTCGTCATTACCATTTCAACGAATTCAGATGATTTGTATTGGATTTTTTACTCTTGAACTGATTCTACGTCTATTCAGCGCACCATCATTATCTAAATATTTCAAGAGTTTTATGAATTGGATCGATATAATTGCTGTTATCCCATTCTATATCACCACTACTATACATCTTGTCAATCAATTTAGCGATCACAATATTAACATTTATAATAGTTTTGCATTATTGCGCATTCTTCGATGTGTTCGTATATTTAAATTTTATCGAGTTTTTAAAAATATCAAAACCGTACGTGTTCTTGCTGTGACAGTAAAAGAATCGATGCTTGATTTCATTATTTTGGCAGTCACATTGACGCTAATGGCCTTTCTTTTCGGTGCGGCTATCCACCTTATCGAGAGTACAAATGGTAATTCGGATTTCGACTCCATACCGAAAGCTACCTATTGGGGTATTGTGACAATCACTGGTGTTGGGTAAGAACGGCTGTTTTCACAGAAAATATAGTTCGATAACAAATGGAAAAACGAGAGAAGTAGAGAAAGATTGTATTGTTTTCTTTTGCATGTTTAGCTATGGTGATATGGTGCCAGTCACAGCTTTAGGACGTCTAACTGCTGTTATATGTGCATTGGCTGGTGTGGGTACTATTGGTATGCTTGTCTCAGTTCTGGTCGACCGGTATCATCGAGTATATAATCGTAAACTCTACATTAAACCTGAGCAAATTGACTTCAACGAGTTCTCTGATGAAGAAAATGAGGATCTAGAAATGGGACATGGAAATATCCATGGTGATTCTCTCATTGTTAATATCGACGACAGAGAAGAGTAAGAAAAACTCCATTTGATCAATCAAAACAAAGATATTGTTCATAGACATGATATCGACACAAGTCTGCCGATTCTACCATCATTGCTTCTATTGCCAGATGCAATAGATCAGAGTCAACCTCGACGTCATTCCATGGGTCACTATAAGAATAAGAACAATGAGGTATCACAGACAGTGTCCGACGAAATTAATTCAATTGTGCCAAAACAAAGATTTAATAGTCTTACTACCTCGGTGTGTACGTATTCGATCTTTCTTACATTCACTTAATGTCATCGTGTATTTAGGAAACTGTCAATGTGAACAAGAATAATACCGATGTGTTGACAACGATTACTATCAATGCTGATATTTAACGAAAGAACATTACTCTGATGCCTAGTATTCCGTTTTTGCTACGAATCATTGTGAATATCTAAGATTATTGTATGTTCAATATAGAATTACGAGAGAAATCGTTGTATCGTTTACAACTATGCAGTCTCATGATGAAATGAACAATTGCTTTCTTGCTTGTAATATATTGCTATCTTATTACATTCCTAGTAGAATATATAGTGAGGGAGTGTGGTGTGGTTGTGAGTGTGTGTCAGAAAGAAAGGAAGACTCACATCTACAATGATCTCTTACCAGATCAAGAAATTCGATTAAGATGTCTATATTCTGAAAGTTTCCTATTTCGTTTATATAATACATCATTCGAACAATTCAGTAAAAGGGCTATCTATCATTTTTCGTGATCATAAATGCAGTGAAATCATATGTTATACTTCGATAAAATTTGAATAGAATTTCAGCATGTTCGTCGAACGATTGACTTTGTTCCCAAAAGTCATCATCACTCTTATAATTTCAACTTCTGTATGCAAACAGCATCAATAGTGGTCTATTATTTAACTATTACTATTCCAATCTCAATCGTCAAACGGGTTCTAGTGAGTATGAAAAGAAAATCTTTTCGATTCTACTTTTATCATTTTGGATTTTAGCGAATAATTTCTTTCTTGATTTGATTTTCGATGCTGTAATTTCGAAAGAAAATTTTGCGGAAGTATTTCTCATTGTGTTGTATACGTCGATCGTAAGTGTGTTTCTGAATAACAGCCCATTCAGTTTAAGAGCATACTATCTTGTTTCGATACCCGAATGATGAAATTTATACAGTTGTATGTACCTTGCTATCAATAGATATTTCCAAGATACATTGCTATTGAAACTGTCAGTCAACGATTCACTTGACTAAGGGTCTCAAGCCAATAACAAACATAATAATTTCATTTGCAGGCTCATAAGATCATAAATATCAATGTGATATACATTCAATTCTTGTTTAATATTAAACACGCTCTTTCTAATATTTCATACAAGACTGGAATCAAATGGTCAACTTATCACTGAATAACACAGACATATTGCAATTTATAGAGAATTGAATATTTTACAACAATAGAAATGCAATTATTTCACTATTTTAATAGGAATCATTGATTAGCAGTCTTAGTCCCTTCGCACCCGAAATATTGATCACTTCTACATGAAAGATCGAACTTCTGAGACATACTCTTCATGTCATACGAAGTTCACTCAACTTTACCAGCGAGATTTTAGACTATTTTTCTTAATCAATTTACATCAACAAAAATTGATGTAGGTGGGTATGGGTTTGTAAGATGTTCAAGACAATAGCCACATCCACACTCCATCATAGACGCATGTCAAATTATGAATCAGTTAAAAAAAGTATCATATACCATTAAGAATATGTGCAATCTGCTAGATTGACTTCTACTGTCATAATTAGATTAGAATTGAAAATTTCACACTACCACATAAAATAGAGTAGATGAGATAAGTTAATATCATTAGAAAATATATTGAGATGTGTAATAGATATTTTCTTTGTGAAAAAGCTAAGATATAGTCTATTTGAAAGATAAGAATGATATACTTTAAAATTTCACCTAATTGATGACAGCATGATCTTAGTATATTCGTATTAGTTATACAACGTATTTTCGGTTTTGAGAGAAGACCTTTCTTAAAATTTACTTTTATTGTAAAACTTGTTTGAAATATGCCATTTGTAATATAGCGATATGAAAACATTCATAATCAATTTCATCAAGTTCAAATAAAAATGCAATCATTCATTTTTTCTAATACAATGGTTAATAGTGATACGTTCGATTGCAGAATAGTTCCAAAGATTATAGCGATGCATTCATAATAATATTGCTTGCACTTTTTTAAATACTAAACATATGTATCATATATATTTGATTGAATAAAGCGAACTTTCTTTCAAGTTTCCTAAACTAGATTAAAGAAGTCATTGATCTTTCTGTTTTATTATAGATTCACTTAATTGATTTTGTTTTTGAGCAACAAAAATCGCTTTTCGCAGTTATGATGTTTGCATTTTCTTATGTGTAAAAACATCTTATCAACATAGAATCATCTGACCCAATACATTCCTTTTATTCTTAATCGAGTTACAGAACATCTGTTCACACGTATACGCTTCAAATTCCTCAACAATAAAAAGAAGCTTGTTGATTTTCAAGCAAGTGATGATATACATACAATTACTGAATCGTCATGCATACTTGATATTCACCGTCCTATATTGTTACAAAATATTTCATTTCGGATAATGCAAAGATAAAAATGACTGTTTTAAATAGTGTGAATTCTTATGTGTATGTGTATATTTATATAATACTGAACAAAAAATGACAAGAGCAAAATATTTTTCCCACTATGTCACATATCTATTTCAAATCCAAATAGTCATTTGAACATTCTATGACTATCGGATACATTTTAGATCATATTTCATCGATATAAAATGATAGAAAAGATTCTAAAACCGAAAAAACGATAGTTTTCAAATTCAAGAAGGATTGTGAAAGTCAATTTTTAATAGTACCATCTTAAAGAAAAACAAGTTGTGAGTAAAATGAAAACCTGTCGCATTTTCTACATTTTTCTCTCTTAGCCCATTTGAGAAAATGTACCGGGTTAGAAATAATATTATTCCAGGTAGGTACCTAGTGGCGGCGCCACAGGTGGGCGGAGGTGGGCTGAGCCCACCCTAAAATTCCTTCAGCCCACCCTCAATATTTGTAAGTTGCAGCAAAAGATGGCTTCCAGGGTGGGCTCAATTACAGTGAGCCCACCCACATTTGAGCTAGAGGGGGCTAAGCCCACCCTAGTAAAAACTCCTGGCGCCGCCGCTATAGGTACCGCTATAATTTCAAATAGAATACATAATGAATTTTATATTAAATGAAAGCTCGTTAAAAATGAAGTTTATTGGTACTAAATAGTGAAGATTATGAAAACTTTTTAATAGTGAACTTAAGAAATTTTCAGAAATTTTATACTTTTGTTTTGAGATGAAAAATTAACGTGCCAGTAATTGAAAAACGGAGTCAAATTTTTTCTTGGATATTTTTACATGGTTCGATAGAGCTCGTTGAGTTCTACAAAACTATATATATTAAAAAAATTTTCAAGCGTTTCTTCCGATAAAAAATTCAAAAGTCTACTTGGAAAATCTTTAAAAATATTATAAAAATTCATATTTTTTATATGAAAGAAAAACACTCGATTTTTCAATAAAATTAACTTTTTCTTATTATTTTTACTACTCCAGGGGTTTTGAACTATACTTATTTTGTGCAGTTTTCTACGCTGCATTAAATGAGCATATTTCAAAACATCTAACGCAGTAAAAATAATAAAAAAAAAAAAGCTAATTTTATTGAAAAATCGAATGTTTTTCTTTCATATAAAAATAATGAGTTTTTCTAACTTCTTTTGTAAGATTTTCCAAGTAGTTTTTTTAAATTTTTTAATATATACAGTTTTACAGAGCTCGATAAGCTCTATCGAACTATGTAAAAATATCCAAGAAAAAATTTGACTTCATTTTTGAATTGCTAACACCTTAATTTTTTACCCCAAAACAAAAGTATAAAATTTCTGAAAATTTCTTAAGTTTGATACTAAAAAAATTTTCATAATCTTCACTATTTAGTACTAATAAACTTCATTTTTGACGAGCTTTGATTTGATATAAAATTCATTTTATCTTCTATTTGAAATAATAGCGGTATCTCCCTGAAATAATATTATTTTCTATCCTGTAGATAGTATTTAGAACATTTGTTAGTTTTCAGAATTGGTTTTATGGTCTTCTTATGGCTGAACGGACAGCTGAAAAACGACGGATTGAAGGACCAGTAACTAAAGCTTAGTTTAAATATCAATATACTTGATTAACATTTTATGCCTAGTTGTTATTCATTAGTGAAAATGTTAATGCTTTCTTTGTATTCAATTTATATAAAATAGATGCTTTACCATTAATCTTCTACTAAACACGCTCGTCTTAATCGAGAATTGAAGACTGATAATAAGTTCAACGTTGATTATTCTTAACTAAGTATATTGAAGCGATATTAGATAATCTTGTAATATTAACAAAGAAATTATAAATCTTAGATTCACTCAGAAGTTTGATAATAAAAAACAAAAATTTATTGAATGAATTATTTTTCAATTATAGAAAATTTCAGTTTCAAAAACTAATTATATATATATTTGTTTACACATAAAAAAATGATCCTTATGTTTTTAGTATGTTTAGAAATATATGTATTATTACGAATGTCTCATGGTTGTCATAATTGAAGTGGAATATCGTCGTTTTTCTTTTTGATTAGAGCAAGATTTTGATTCTTTTCTCGTGATTTAGTACAGAAAATTCTATAATATTTAACCATTTCAGTGCAAAGTTGTCAGATTTTCTAATATTTCATAAGTTCAATTAAATATTTCTAAATATGTCACGAAATGTTAGAGATTAGTATATTTCAAGAATATAATCGAGTTTGTCTTCGAATTATTTTCCCGTCAAATTTAGCAATATTCTTCAGTATTTTTGTTGATAACACTGATCATTCTGACAGGAATTGTTTTTCAATAATATTTTTCTGCAAGTAAAACATGATATCAACCGAATATAGATTGTTGAACGGACTATGGTTTTGCAGGTATTACTTCTTTTAAAAATGAATTTAGAATCGGTCACGTTTTTATTATGAAAAACAAAAATCTCTTGATTCCAAATTTGAAGAAAGAAGCAGCTAGCTAATTTAAATAATAACAGCGTTTTATATATCTGCCGAAGCCTAACAGAAATTTTCGTTTACTTTCATAAGAGAAGTGAGCAAGACAAAAAAAAAATGCTTTTTTTATCTCCTATCAATCATAAAACGTTTGGATGAGTGAGTTCAGGCAACGACAAAAGAAAATTATAGTGCTGTATGTAAAATAGTACTTGATGATTTCGTTCCTATAGTGTACGGGTCATTGTCATCGGTTGATATCAACTTTTTTTTTTACTTGAATATCAATTGATTTATGATTTATTTTTCATGTACTAAACTAAAATCAATCATTTAAAACAAACCGTCATAAGTAATAATAATATAGCTAAAATAATTTAAAATACTAATAATAAGTAATACCAATTCAATAACACTATGGACGAGAGTTATTCAGAAATACACATCCTCATTTTCACTCTTTAATTATTATAGTCTTATTCATGTTATATTATCAAATAATGTATTGTGCAAGAGCAATACAAAGAAATAAGAAATTCATAGTAGAAAAAAAAATTCCATAAAAACGAAAAGAAAATAAAACATGCAGACAGGTCGTATCTTGAAAAATAAAACATAATGAAACATGAGGTTGAAAAATAGTTCTTCCAATTGTTTCATTGAATTATGAATAAAATGATCGACAGCATGAATATTTTGATCAATAATATTTATCAATAATTTGCTCAATCACAAAAGGGAATTTCATCATCGCTTGATCCATCAGTATCGGAATCTTCAAATTGTACTGGATTCGTAATACGAATTGGTACTTTATTGATAGAAGTTTCTTTATAAGAATCTACTTTTTTTGTATTCGTTAAATGTAAATTTTGAGAATTGCTTTGTTGATAATATGAATATTTTGTTATACTAGGTAGTGATGAACTTGGCTTAAGTTTCGCATCGTGTATCTTATCACTAAATGTAACATTTTTAACAGATTTAAGAGTATTTGATGTTGAAAGTAGACCAGCATTGTCATCAGTCACCGCTTTAGAATCATTACTGTTTTCTTGATTATTTTTTTTATGGTACATTTCAAGACATGATGCCCTACGTTCAGATTGTTTATGCCCACTCCATATCTGTTTAAGTAAACTTTCATACGGACGCCCTGTTGAGATTTTTAATATTCCCTTTAACAAAAAAAAGAAACAGAAATACAATTTATCTTATTTAAATTTAACATACTTTAGGTTTAAATTCCGCATTTGATGTTGATATTACACTAGCTGCATTTGACGTTGATGCTACATTACCTGCAACTGATGTTGATGTTACATTGCCTGCATTTGATGTTGATGTTACATTAACTGCATTTGATGTTGATGCTACATTATCTACATTTGATGTTGATGTTATATTAACTGTATTTTCTAATTCAGGTTGAACAACAATTGATAGAACTGAGTTCACTTTTGATATGGTATTTGTATTGTTTTCGTTTTCATTTTCATTTTCATCAAACAAATTGTCATCCATATTATTCGATTTTTGTTTTTCGTTGTCTCTTAATTTTGAGTTGTGTGCTGTGTTAAAACGTTCCTTTATAACAGCTAGAAAACATTGATGATGATTATTATCAATTTTTAACTTGACAATGTTGATGCACGAAATCGTGTCAAATTATTGTAACCTTTAGATGTGAGGGTACACTAATAAGACCTTTGATATACATAAAAAATGTCAAATTAGAATGGAAAAATAATATATGACATAAAAAAAATATATATATATTTATATATATGTATGTATTTTGTTTTTGTCAATAATTATTAATGAAAACTAAAAAAATACATTTATTCTGTCAGTTTATCTTGAAGAAAAAAAAGAACAGATAAAAAATATATTTCTTCTTCTATGCAATACAAAAAATTAAAAATAGAAACTATGTAAATAGGTGAAGCAAAAATATGAGTAATAATTAACTCATTTAGGTTATATCTGATTGATATTAATCTTATCATGAAAAATATCTAGGAATAATTATTAAGTTATTAAATGAAGAAAAAAAAGTAATATACAGAAAGAATGATTCATAAAAAAAATCATAACTAACTCGATCCGTTTTTTTTATGACCTGCACCTAATTGAAAAATAGAGTAAATCTCGGTCAGCAGATATCGAAAGGTTTGCGTACACTGAGAGAACATAATTTTTGTTCAACAAGTTATAAATTGTAATCTTCCTGTCTTTTTCGTAAGTAATTTCAAGTAAATGAGGATAAATTATTGTTGATTTTTCTGTTATAAGAATATCTATCAGATGATAAAATTTGACTTTATTAATTATAAACGAATGATTCAAATAACAAATTATTAAATTTCAGATAATAGATCATTTTTGTTTGTATGAATTAAAATGTTCTATTAATGATTATTTTTGTCTAAAGATGAAGAATTTATTACATACCTATAGCCCGCTATCAAGACTGTATTGACGAAGAAAAAGAAATATACAATATTTTATTTTTCGTGTCAATAACAGAAAAACAGAAAGTCATACATTTATGATAGAAATAATGTGGCCTTGAATTGGGAAGATAAAAACTATCCTATTAGTTATTACACATTGAATTTGATTCATTTTTTTAAATACGCTTCAGTAACTTATTAATATATTATATACAGCAAGAAAATTTGAGATGCGCTGTATTTTATGATGCAGTTCTTATGCTCAATAAAGTTTACAGTACAACAAATATACTAATAATAACAAGTTATACTATAATCCCGTATACTATAGACTTGTATTGAAATGGTCATCAAAGAAATTTATATATTAATCATTAAGATCGATTCATAATATGTATAAACTTCATATGAAAGGTCTTGTGATAATGATAAAAAGACGAAAAATAATGAGGTAAGTATTAATTCTAATCAACATACTCATCGATGTGAAACTCAATATGTCGTATTTTATTTTTTATTGCGATGTAAAACACATTTAGGATTATGCAGTGCATCTAAATGTTGAAGATAAACAAATAAGAATGAAAATTTACTAACGAGATAAGACCTCGAATTGATCAATCACTTTTGAGTGGAGACTATGTGCATGCTTTTTTTAGACTCAAATGAACTATGAATATCTTGAAAAGAGTGTGTGTTCCTAGTTCATGTGGTTGCCGAAAGAATGCTGCGGTCTATCCTCATCAGAAACACCGAAAACACTCATTTTCAAATTTCGACTAAAAACTTTGCATCGAGAAACAGATTTTAACAAGAATTGCTGTATTTTGAATATTTCAAATCTTGTTGCTGTATTCTTATTCTAAGATACAACTATAGTAATAGCGTATCTGTTACATCATTTATATATACCGACAGATTTGATGTTCTTATTTCAAGATAGCAGAAAATTAAAAGACTTGAAATTTTCACAATAAATTATTCTCATTAAGGTCTATTTCTATGCAAAGTTTCACATTGGCGTTTGAGAATCAATTTTTCTGGTGTTCTTAAGGAGGACCATCAAGGCAGGTATGTATTGAAAACGCCTAAAGAAAAAATGTCGAAGAAAAATAGTCGAAAAAAAACGACGAACGAAAGAGATCAAATAAAAAAAACTGTCAAATTAATGAAAAATGATGTTAGATAAAAAATATAAAATATTTACTTTATTTGATTGAAGAAAAAGGAAAAATTCGTTTATTGATAATGAAAAATAACGATAAAAAGAATGAATCACTTGATAGGTTCAGACATGTGTGATTAATACAAAGTTTATGTGAAGAGTGATCAGAATAAGCAGTCATGACCGGTTTCGAGCTTGCTTATGGGTTTCATAAGTTGGCTTTATTTAAATTTATCATCACAATTTTCGTACTGTATCTTCTCTAGAACCCGTCGGATCCATGATTTTTTGAACCCGGACCGACCGGTTAAGCTGTTTCTGGACTTGGACCCGAAGTCGGTCCATCAACATTTTTGGATCCGAATCCAATTGATTAATCCCTTGTGAATTTGGGCACGAATCACACGTTTTGAAACTCTTCATGGGAAAATGACTAACTAGTCTTATTCGATGAAGATAGACAATTTAATTTTTCCATCAACAGCAAAAAAAATCAAGAAAAATGATGAATTTGATTCTTCGTCTCATGATATTGAAACTATAGACAGTAGTAAAGAACCAGATCATACTTTGGTTGAATTGTAGGCTCATAATAGTAATTGGATTTCGATACTGTAGTCATGAAGAGTTTTGTTGTTTTCTGCTACTTTTTTATAAATAAATTTACGATTTTCTGAAGAAAATAAACAGAAATTAAAGAAAATCAAAAACAAGAATTATTGTATATAGTGAATATTTTTTTCTGATCAATAGAAATTTACAGACACAGAGTGTACCTGAATGGTATAGAAAAGGCCCAAAGAAAAAACGTCGCAAAAAAAACCTCGAAAAAAAAAAGGTCGAACGATAAAAATACCGAAAAAAAAACATCGAAACTAAAAAGATCGGAGAAAAATGTCGAATGATGAAAACATCGCATGATTGTTACGTCGAAAAAAGTAAATGTCGAAAATTTGAACATAAAATATATGTGTGTGGGGTGCAAATATGAGTCGCGTAGACTAACGGTTAAGTAACAAGTTATAGAGTAAAGTAGGGTTAGCCTTGAGAGAGAAAAAGTAGATTCGAGATCTAGGTGACTGTCCATGGAGTCAGATGAAACTACTTGACTTCATTTTGATCACCAAGATTCATTAGAATCTATTAAAGTCTATGGATCCAGGATTGGTATTTTTCAGTCTTGGTTAGACCGGTCAGACGTGGAAAGTACAGAGTAAGAGCGTAAAACTTTTAGGATAGAAAGAGGATGAGGCACGGCAAAGCCATATACTGCAGGATCCTAGTATGAATAAAAGTGTGACTTTTCTCTTGATTCACACTCACAATTTTTTCGACATTTTTACACATTCGGTATTTTTTCTTTCGATATTTTCATCGTTCGATATTTTTTTTTCTACCTTTTCTATTTCGACTTTTTTTTTCGATGTTTTTTGTTTTGACATTTTTTGTTTCGGCCTTTTCTATGCATACCGTGTACCTGAACTAGATTAACTTGAAATTTTCAGATCCGGACGAGTCCGGGTCGGACCCGACGGGCTCTAATCTCCTCTATTCTAAAGGTTGAATGCAGTTTTCATTGTCATTTTATAATAATGAATTTGAATAAAGCCATCTGATGAGACCCTTAAGCAAGGTGGGAACCGATCATGGCTGCTTATTCTGAAAGAATAATCAATATTGGTCAATAGCGACATCTCAGAAGTTTCGACATATTACATGATCGACGTTTGTTTTTTTCGATTTTTTTTCGTTCGACGTTTATTTTTCGACGGTTTTTCCTTCGCCATTTTTTCTTTCGACGTTTTCATAGTAAATCCCAAGACATTCATTTAAAAAGTGTTGCATTTCCGCAGCGATATATTATAAAAAAATAAAAAACGCAATTGTTTCTTTTTCTAGTACATTTTTTTTATGCTTTGAATTTCATTTGTTGTATAAGATGAATGTACCATAAGATGCAATGTATTTCGTATACTTTCTCGTCATACATAATATGTTAATAAATTAACGAAGTCCAATAATAAAAGACAGATGAAAAACAGAGATTAGTTTCAACAATTGAACAACCCATAACAAACAACATTGATGAATCATAAATGGAATAAACTCATAAATTCTTTTATAACATATTACTAATTATCATAATGATAATGATATAAATATTAAATGGAATGCAAAAACAAAAAACAAGTGTAGACTAAGAAGAGTTTTGTTTGATCTAAGTAAAGTGATGAGAAAAAGTTTATCAAACATCTGGTTTAAATCCAGATAGTGAATTTATTAGTAGTCAATGAAGTTTTCTGTCTAGTGCAGTTCATAAGAAGACCACATAGATGAACTATGATAGTAAAGCTTCTAAAAGATTCAACACGCTAGTTTTCAGATTTCAGAAGACTTGGTCGAAACTAGTTCTTTTTCAATGCCATTTTAAAGAACACAAAATTCTCAACAAAATCTACAACTTTCTATGAAAAACTTACAAGTATCACAAAAAATATTAAAAGAACGTAATTTATGAAAAATTTGACTAAGAAACGTCTTTTTTCTGTTTTTGTGATGTTTTTAAGTTTTTAACCCTTTCGTTATCATAGTATAAAAAAAGCTACACCTGTTTTTAATTATTTTTTTATGGGATAATTCATAGAAATTAATATACAATCTCTTGAAAGCAAATCAAAAAGAGTATTATAGGAAATTTTCGGAGTATCTGTGTCACAAGCACTGCATAAAATGCAATTTTTTGTGGTATTTCTGTGCAACTTTTTGTGGTATTTCTATGCAATTTTTTGTGGTATTTCATAAAATGCAATTTTTGTGGTATTTCTTTTTGTGTAAAACAACATAAAAATTGTTTTTTGTTATTTCATGAAAGCATTCTATTAGTTTTACAACTAATAAATGTCAGCGGTTAAAATTTTCGTTCAAGTAGAATAAGGTTCAATATAACTTACATTCCATAAATCACATGCGAGAACACATGAGTTACTTTTTACATATGTCCCTATTAGTGGTGAACTGAGGGTTTCGGAAAAGGCGGGGTCGATCGCTTCATCGTCTACCTCTCAATTCATCGCTGGTTCCTATCTCTAAAAACGGCTGATATAATAATTTACTGAGTTTCAATGCAGGAAAAAAAATTATGTAACGAAAGGGTTAAAGGAAGGTCTTAGAAAATACAGCGAGCCCTCATTTTGTGCTCTTTATAATGGCTTGTCTCGGTTTTAGCTAGAGGCTTAACGTTATAGGAAAATATAAAAAATACGTTGTTATTAACCTTTTTTTTCTATCATCTTACAAAGTTGCTAATGCTAGATCGAAAAAATATGGATTAACCATTTTCTCTTGCATCATTCGTAGAAAGTCGAAAGCATCAGAAACGATCTGTTATACATATTTCTAATCTTGCTTTGCTCTCATTATTTTTTAGAACTGTTCATTATATTTTATTTTTAATATATTTTTTAATTACATTCTTACTCGTTTCACATAATTTTAATCATGATGATTTTGAAATTTTGTTTGAGTTAAATTTCATATTTAATCTTCTGCTATATTCAAAAATAAACATCTGTATGACTTTAGCTAATCATGAAAATAAATTTGAATCGTTTTCGAAATAAAAATCTTTTAATTTAATTTCATATGATTAAATAGATGTTTATTTGTATCTTTAAAAACAAAACAAGAGAGAATTCGATTACATATATAACCAAAATAAAGGATTCATTAATCCTGATAAACATAAATATAAAATATTTAAAACAAGTTAAAAAAAACAAAACATTTAAACAACTTCTAATACAAAAATATAATTCGAAAGAAAATAATAAATTCGTTCCATATCATCTTCACATAAATATGGTACGATCATTATTAGGATTTAAATGTTGACGAATTTTTTTAAAATAAAATCAAATGTTTTTCGCAAAGATCAAGAACATTTCAACATATTATTACATCAAATTTTAAATCTCCCCATTGATCTATATCAAGTACTGTATAACCATAATTTGATAGACGTCATTGTATTATTGATAATATATTTGTAGCATATACTTTTTTGGATAGGCCAGCCATTCATTCTGTTATAGAACCATCACCAGCACCAATATGAAGAAGTGCTATCAATGGATATTGTTCATTATAATCTATATCAAGTAATGTTTTAAACTGTGCAATTGAATAAACAAACATAACACCACGACCAATTAAACCATTGGCTAAAATTGAATTTAAAAAAAAAAAAGGTAATATAAATACGTTAAAATTGAAGTTAGAAGATTTGTCTTTTATATGTGATATCTTTCTATTTCAAACGTATATTCGTCTTACTGTACAGGAATATTATAAAATTTTTCTTGACTTTGTTCAATAAATTTCATTGTTTCTTCATCGTCATGAAATTCTTGAAAAACTTCTTGATATTCATCACGTAATAGATCATTACGTGTTAAACGATAACATGTACGTTGATTGATATCTTCTAACCGTTGATCATTTTCTACTTGCGATAATAATACAACTTTTGTCCAAACCGAACAAACAGATAAATATGAAGATTGTTAACAATAAGAATAACATTCATTATTGTTTGTCATCCAGAAAAAAAATAAACCATAGAAAGAATATTATAATAAAAATAGAAGTTCAATTATATGATGATAAGGATAAATTTAAAAGTGAATTAGTATTTCTATTTCTTGCTGACATCTGTTTTTTGTCAGTCAAGCTTTAACTAGTTCATCTATGTTTGATATTCTTGATCAAATAATGAAACACATAGATGTGGAGTTTCTCTTCAATGAGATCCATATCCACACTCCCATTTTTGGCAGATTTCGTTTCTTATTATGTGTGGTCCTTCGTGAACCGATTTATTTTCTATATGCACTCTAATCAAATCTTTAAAAGTTAACTATCAAGTTTTATTGTTTCACAGAAAACTAATAAATTTGTCAATTTTATAATCAACAGAAAATTCAAAATGATTTTATAAATTTTCGCAAATGAGAAGTAATCAATTACACACAAGTAGCACAAAGGTATCTCGGACGTTCTATTTTGCGCCCACAGTCTTCGTGATATATCAATTGTGAATTGAAAGATTTAAGAGACAAAACTAGGCTATGAATGTGAATGGTGTTCATTCTATTTTACTTGAATAAAAATTGTTCTGAAATCAGATTTTGAATTCAAATCTATAATCTTTTATTGTAAACATATAATTAAGGATATTAGTTTAAATAGTATTATTTGTTAATTCAATAAATGAAATAGAATGACTTGGTAAATCGAATGGAGCTAATTTTAATTGATTATTTTCAATTTTATATTCAATTGGTTCATGCAATAATTTTATTTCTTCACTATGTTTTAAAAATGCTCTAATTAATTTGCATTTAATTCATCTGGTTTTCCAATCTTAATCCATTCGGTATATGTATTACTATGATTTGAATCAATTCTATAATGTTTTAATAGAACATTTTGTAATGGAATATTTATAAAAGTAATATTGATCGATTGAATATCTTCTGATGTCCAATCATCAACATGATAAAATAATAGTAATTGAAAACTTTTATTTTCATCATCACATGTTGCCATACCAAATATTGGTAATTGTATTTGATTCATTTCTATAAATAATTGTTTATATTTTAATTTTCCAAATAATTTCAAATCAGATAAAATAGGTAAATGTAAATTATAATTTGTCATAAGTGTACGATTACCTTCAAATAATCGTTTTCCTTCCATATAAAATGACCAATGTGTTATTAATTGAATTCGATTAGATAAAGATAATATATGATAGATCATCGATGCAACAATACAAGGATAATATTCTGTATTACATATGATATAATTCGGATTATCATAAACACCATAAATTGTACCAACAGCAGGATCACATTCATCAATAAAGATTGGTAAATTGTTCAATTGTTCGAATTCATTACAAATCATTAAGTTATTATGAATATCATTGAGAATCTTTGAAAGATTCGGTGATTGATAACTAACTTTATGACCATAACATCTTCGAGGAATATAATCGGCACCTTTTATATAAATGAAAATAAGACTTATTCTATAACTAAGAATTCAAAATCAAATACTCTGTGTAAACATATCAATTCCTAAGAATTTTTGTAGTTCAAAGCATTTGACAAAAACCTGTTTTTTTAAACAATCTTATTCGAGTATTCTTTGTCGAAAGAAATTAAATTCAAACTAATTTTTAATTGCAACTCATCGAAAAAAAAAATTGATCAGACAATAGTAACAATATAGAATCGTATGGTATAGATAGCAGGATTTTGTAAATATTCATCAGCGAAGATTTTCTTTGCGAATTTTTACATGAGAATTTGCAATATTCAGATGAAGAAATTTAACAGAAATAGAGATGTACAACGATCGATCTAGTCAATATTCAAGATCTATTTTTAACAATACTCTTGTCTCACTTTTTATTATCATATTCTCTACTATCATTTTCTTCCTTTTTCATGTCAAAATTTCATAGAACTAAACAATTTTTGCAGATAAAATATCGAAATATTTCAGCAGCTCCAACATCGATTACTGCGCTGCTTGATAAACTTTACCATATTGAAAATGTAGCTTTTCCTATAGAAAGTTTCTTTCTCTGATAAATCCAATTAGAGAAATTCAATAGATCAGTTATATTAACTTGAAGCATATTTTGCAAAGCAGCTTTCAAGAAGAAAAAGATTGATGTTTTCAAATAAATCTTCTATGTAAACTAATCTAAATTTTTAAAAAACACATGTATCAATATAAAATTTACCTTTTGTATGAAATGATATAAAATCAATTCGTGTTCCAATTTCATTTGTTACATAATTTTTGCCAGATGTTACATGTTTTAAAAATTGTCTTAAAAATCCCATTCCAACATCAGATGTAGCTGGTCCGCCAATCTTAAAAGATTTATTTACATGTTTAATTGCTTCAACAGAATAATCATATAGTTTAAAGTAATCTTCAATAGATCCTAACCAATAATTTGTTAAATTTGGTTCATTCCATATTTCAAAATACCAATTTTGTACGCGTTCACCATATCGTTCGTAAAGATGATTAGTAAATATTTCAATTAATTGTCACCATTTTTTATAATCTTTAGGTGGTAATTTCCATTTATTTTGTTCATATAATTCTTGTCCTACATCTCGACCCATTTTCCAATCAGATGGTAAATCTTTTGAATCTGTTACTAAATCCAAAGGCATAAAATCTAATTCAATTATTGGTATAAGATTATGTTCAATATAATTATCATAGATTTTGTCGATGATTTCAAAATTATAAATTGCATTTCCATCTTCATCTTCCATATAAATATTAGTTGATCCACCAGCTGGATAACAAAGCATATTACCACTTGTAAATATGTTATGATTTCGAACATAATAAGGTTTTTCCATAATTTCGTCTAAATATGTGATAAATAATTTAATACATTCAAGCAGTCAACTACAGGTTTATAGAGTGAACAAAAAGCAAAACAATATCTCAAAAAAGGTAAGGATATAGTTATCTTAAGTAATATTAACTTTCTTAGAAGTCCTTTTACAAAATTAACAAATAAACATTGAATGCCATATCTCGAATGTCTTGATATCTTACAAACAGCGAGCGGAAAGTCTTTTTTTTTATTTAAATTACAAATATCTAACAGGATTATATATATTAGGCAAGAAAATATAATTTGTTTTACGACGATAGATACATTATGCTTGAATAGGTTACTGATAAGAATTTAGAACTCGCTACATCACTTTAATCTTGCTCACTCTATATTTGAAAAAGTGCGAGTTGCAAAACTTATTTGCATGAAGTATAATTATATTATGGTGGATCATGATGCTTTCTTACCTTTCAGTGTTTTGAGTAAGTATTTTCCTCTTTCGGTATAAGACCAATTAATTTCATCAAAACCAATTGATGTCCAAATATGTCTCAATTCACCAATAGAGTTCTTACAGTTAATTTCAATAGTACTTGCCAACGACATTGTGATTTTTTTAATTCTTGTTGTTTACCTAAATTCACAAATCTTATTGTTTTACTCGAGTTGCTAATAGCGAAAATATTTTATCATAGAATCTAATGAGAAATCGAATAAGAAACAACCGCTACGTACTTTTTAAGTAAAAGATTTTTTTTATAATGCCTCTTTTTTTCCTCAGTGATACGAGCTTTGCTATACTACCATTTATTTTCGATTTTCATTTCTCTAATGGCAAGCAATTGATTCGTGCAAAAACAAACATAGCTTTTAATAATAAAATTGAAAAAGGAATATGAAATTCGTACTTCATTGCTTGTGACTAAAAAATAGAAAGTGATTATGGTCAACAATGTCATTGTTTTTCGTGTTCTATTCATGATCTCGCCGAAGAATAATAGATACCAAGAACTTCTTTTGAAATATAGAATCAGAGTCACCATCCGTTTTAGGTAGAAAAAAAACTAATGAATCTAGTATGACATCGTATATAAATCATTAGAAGTCTTGTCTCTGTAGAATTTTGTATGAAGTTCGAAGATTCAGTTTTAAATGTCTCCACTTTAATAAAGCAGATGCAGATCGCTTATAAAACACACATGATTATTGTTCACTTGGTTTAGTTTAGTGTTGGCATAAGTAGTTTGTCATTTAAAATGAAATTCATAAGAATGAGAAGCTTTTGTGTGTCAGATTGATTCTTCTCCTCTTTCGAGAAAATAGAGGCTTGCATAGTTGTCTTTGATGGTAGAATACAAATACAAATATACTCTTATTTTCCGCTCATGAAATATCTTCGATTATATATTCCTCAATCCATCGCTCTCTTCATGCTTATTATACTTATACTTGCCGAAAGATATTTATCACAAGATTATATTGCATTTTGATATAATATACGGAAAATACTGAAATTCGCAATCTACAATTATTCTTGCATAATGCTTCTTAATCGTTGAGATATATACTTATAGATAAATCCAATGCTACAATAAGATTAAAAACGACTTCTACTCGAATGTTATTGAATTTAAAGTAAAATAAATTTCAATTCTTATTGTTCTAGCGATTATAAAAAGTCTATAACCGTACTCACGTGCTTTTACTGTTATTTTAACTGAAGAGTATAAAACGCAAAAATGCTATTAATATATGTTTTCGTGCATACTTATTTACAAGTTCTGTTGAGAGATAGTAGAAAAAGAAACAAAAAGAATTATGAAAAATGTTGACTGGAGGCCAACAGTAAAATGACTCATAACATAGTTGTTGTCAGCAGTATTGATGTAAAAAGAACTTTTCTAATTTCAATTGAAACATATCATTAATATCTATTTTTAAGCATTACTTTGCCGTTATCAAATAGTCAAGATAATCTAACTTCTAGAAAAGACATATGTGAATCGATCAAAGATTATTCTAAGTTGAAATTTCCTTGCAAGTAACATATTGAATTCAGCCAATTGAAGTCTTTCTTTTTTCAAATTGCTAATATACGTTCAAAAAAGCGTCGCAGTAACGTCTATATTGACGACTACCAGGGCTGCCATTTCTTGTTTTACAAATGGGGTTTATGAAGGTCTAAATGGAGTACATTTGGGGTATATTCGATT